TAATGTTCATTTCCATGAGTGAGGGAAGTTTATGGGTTTCCATATATTGTGATACACCATTAAAATAAGCAATTATTATACTATGTTTGCTCTGACACATGCAGTTTTAAGTTTGCATAACAAACTTTTCATGTTCACTATCATTCTAATCATCATTTAATATTTAGCTTTTTTATAAATGGTAGTTCATTTCATAATAGTGTACATTTTAAGAGATTTTAATACCAGAATTGATAAAAATTGCATCTGTAGTTCAATATATGAAGTTTCCCAGTAAACATTTCACAATTCTTTTGGAATCAAATCTTAATAATTATTTTATTTCCAAACAGAAGTGATATGTTTGTATTTATAAATCATTTCATTGAATTTAAGATTCACCTTCAGGTTCTCATGTTACTTATACTTTTAGAGTGAATGTTTTCATTTTTTGTGGATATATTTTGATTATTAGCATTTTGACTGAAAATATCTATTTACTTATTTCTTTATGGAAAGATTTTTAATTTCTATATATTCTATCAGAGTCTAAATGACAAATTAATGATTAAAGCACTGAAGAATCTGAATACACACACATGCACACACACACATATATATATATATATATATGATAGGATAAAGAACAAATAGGAAATGTTTTTAAATCTATCATGTTTCATTTTTATTAAAGCTTCATCAAAATGAGTTATGAAAAAATTCTGATATTTTTACTCGTGTTATTTTATTTTCATTGTTTTAAGCAGGCTTGATGTGCATTTGATTTGTTAAGCAGCATTCATGTTTACAATTTGTGTGTGTAAGTGAACCATAATTTTAGTTTGTTTATGCAGTATTCAGGTGATATTGTATGTGTGTGTGTGTGTGTGTGTGTGTATATTAGTGTCTAGTAAGCATTATTTATGTTTGGAGGTTGCCCATATGTTAATTTTGGGATGTTTTTATGTCAACAGAAGTTGTGTTAGATTTATAAACATTTCCTATATATATATATATATATATATATATATATATATACCTATTTGTTCTTTATTGTATCATTCTGTTGGATTCTCATTCATATTTTATCCCTATATATCATGAAAGATTACAGCCCCAAACCATATATATATATATATATATATATATATATATGTGTGTGTGTGTGTGTGTGTATTTATGTATAGCTTTTGGGTAGCAATTTTTCCTTAATAATTGATTTAATTAAAGATGAAAGACAAGGAAGTGTTTTTTTAAACATTTTATTTAACTTTTCTTGTTTATACAGAAAGGAACACGTCCTTGAATGAAGTGAATGGTAATACTGACCAAATGTTTGAGACTGATTGCCTTCAACTCTGATTTTGGCCATTATCAAGATTTGGGAAAATTTTGGATGCTACTTGTTCACATAGAAAAAAAAAGTTGCATGCAAATAAATCCACAATGTTCTTTGAGCTTGATAATGATCAGAAGAAGTAGGGTTGAAAACACTTAGTCTCAAATATTTGGACAATATTGGCACTCATTTGATCTGAACATATGTCCCCTTGTAAGTAAAAAAAAAAAATCAAAACAAAAATTCCTTGTTTATCATCTTTAATCAAAATAGTATATAGAGAAAGAGGGAGAGGCAGGTATGTCATTCCTCTTTTTGGATTATTTGTTTAGATGTAAGACTAGATCAATCTGATATTTTGTAAGAATTTTCATTGGACATGATCATTTTTTTTGTATATCCAAGGATATTTTTTATTCCTCTTCCAATTCAAAGTTTTATCAAAACCAAGCAGATATAAAAGAAAAGTAAAAGAAAGATGAAAAACATTCATAAAAATACATAAACCATTTCTTCAAGGCATTCCAATGGAGATAATAAAAGAAGACAAGTACAAAGTTTATTATTTGGTTTTGATTTCATTACTCTACATTACACCCATTAACTGCCAACTGTAAACAAAACATGTTCAATGCAAAAAGAATCAAGGGAGAGTTTCAATTTAAAAGTGCCACTTGTGTGAAAAGCCGAATTGTGACAATGAAGTCATCTTCACCATCAAAAAGGCGCCAACATTGACCACAAGTTTATAAAGAATATTTCCCATGTTTCTGTATAGATTTGTTTATGGCTTATGATCTTGATGAGTGCAGTTTGTTCGATATTTCATCTTTGAAGGGCAGTTAAATTCTATTCACAACCATACTTCCTTGAATTAAGATTGGTTAACATATTTAAAGCATGATTTGCTGGAGAAATTAGAATATACAAGAATGTTATGTGCAACTGTTTGGCAAAGTGTTTGCATAAGCGAAGTGTTTGTGGCATCTCAAAACACTGGAGTTATGGGACAGTTTCCCCACACTTGGGCATATAAATAAAGTCTTGAGTAGGAAACACATTTTTATTTAAGTATAAAAGAGCATTAGCAAGAACATACTGACAATTAAAACTACATCTTTTTTATTTAAAAATCTACCTGTACTTATTGCATTATTTTATATATATATATATATATATATATATATATATATATATATATATATATATATATATACATATAAAGGGTGCTAAAAAGTTCTTTGCCCAACCCACTTTCCAAAATTAGTATTCTGAGATTTTGTCATTGGTTTAATGATTTGGTGAAATAGGTCAGACCAAAAATTTTCAACAAACCCTTGTGCATATATATATGTGTGTGTGTGTGTGTGTATGCATATATATAATAGTGGATACTGAAGTCAATATCCAGGAATGACAGTCTGTTTCATGCTTAAATGCAATCACCAGGCCATGTACACTGTGTTTTGGCTTAACAGTGGTGTATAATGCATGCATATATATATATATATATATATATATATATATATTGCATTATTTTAATGCTTACTTGGGTGGGCAGTAATGGTTATGCTTTTGAATTATTCTAGCACACACACATATATATATATATATATATATATATATATATATATATATATATATATATATATAATGCCTGACAATTGCAGGACTGTGAAACTTAAATAGCAGTCAAAACATAGTCACTTTTGAGGTGTGATGCTGTAATGTATTTTGGCTCTGTCCTAATAACCTATGCATTGAACACTGTTGGTTACTGTTTAGGTAGGTGTCTGCCTTTTGTTTTTTTTGTTTGTTTATTTTCCCAATTTTGTATAAGTTTTTTTTTTTTTTCTGCTGTTAGTAATTTTTTTTGGTTGTTTTCTATTTGAGTTTTTTGTTTGGTCACTTGGCAGGCTTGTTTGGATTTTGTGATATATATATATATATATATATATATATATGGACAAGGAGAGCATTCATAAAAACAAAATTGTGCATATCCATCTTTCTTGACCTGTCTGTTATCTTCGATGGCAGTGAGACCTGGTTTGTGAGGTAACAGGACAACAGAGGAATTGATATAATTGACATGCACTACCTGCCAACATCAATCGTCATCATCTGTCTCCTTGAATACTGTTCTTTTTTATTGTCCTTTATCCTCAGTAACATTTTCTCAGTGTCCTTCACTCTCAGTAACCCCATCTATCTTAACAGCTTTATCACCTTGCTTGTGGTGAAATGATTAAAAAAAAACCTTCTTCATGTCAAATGTTTTCAGTTTGTGTGGAATGACATAAACCTTCAATGAAGCAAGCCGACTCCTGCCTCAGCATAGATTGCTGAACAAAACACCAAATTAGTTCAAATACCTAAATAATGAACGGGTTTTGTTATCCTGCAAAAGACATTATTAACAGAAGAATCTTGGATGGAAATACAGGCTGAACATCATCAGCCAGAATTTAGGTGATATCTACATATCACTCTACTTAGCCAGGAGACAGGCAACAGGTTCAATGAAAAGGAGTCTGTCAGCATGTAGTCACTATGATGGGACCCTAGGAGGGACCATAACAATAAGGTTGAACAGAGTACAGAGAAACTAGATTGAATCTAATATTTTAAATGAATATATCCCATTCAGCTCCAGCTACTTAAGATGGTTATGTTAGTGAAGTTTATATAATACATATCAGTTAATGTGTATATGCATGGAATAAAAAAGCTGAATGCCTTCCAGGAACAAAGCAAAATACCCATATTTCTTTTCAGAAGAATAAAAAAAAAACTATCAATAATATTCAACTGACAATTTGTATAATCTTTTGCCAGATTATTTACTGAAGTTTGATGATTTAAATTTTTTTATGAGGTTCCAGAAATAATCTAGAACAAAAAAAATGAAATAAAAAAAAAAGTCCAGTTAAGAGAACACCCACCTTTTGAATATTCACACTATATTATCATAGAATTGTTTGATTGGATGAAAAGACCACTTTTTTAAAAAAAAAAAACCTTTGCACAATCAAATTTGCACAAAATCATATAATTTCCTTTTTATTAAAGACCCTTTCTATTAAGAATCCTTTTGAATGAGAACAAATGGGTCACAAATGGAAGAAAATAAGGGGGGAAGAAAAAAAACAATGAAAAGACATCACTGCAAAAAACCAGAAGGAAGTAAGTCATAGAATTTGTTTGTTTTTTTTTTCTAAATGGTATATCAAATAAATTTTAAAGAGCACTGCATTCCGGGAAATATGACCTTAATAGACATGACATTTTATTTTTAATGAAGAGAAGGACCTTTTCTTGATACTGCTTTTTTTACAATGACATAATACACTGCACTTTTTTGAATGTATATATATATATATATATATATATATATATATATATATATATATATATATATATATATATGTACACAAACACATACACATCTAAACATTATACACGCATATATATATATATATATATATATATATATATAGATAGATATATATATATACAATGTATTTGAACAAAGCTCTGGTTTTGTAAATAGTTTATATGTATATGTGTTTGGTAAATGGTTTTATGCAAAAGAAAGCAGTGGTTAGCTTGTATGTGTGTGCTTGTATCTTGCTGGTCAATTTTGAACTGGACAAACAGCATTCTGTTTTTGTGACCATGGTCACAGGTTCTCATAGGTTAGGAATCGATCAATGTACTCCATCACTGCGGTATGACAAAACTGATACTGCTCCTGAAAAAAAAAAAAGAAAATTTGATTGTTAAATTAATACACAAATTAATGAATTAGCAAATATACAAAACTGTATCAAATGATATACAGTGTTACTGAACTAATTCTTGCCTCATTTTCATATGAATGCATCAACTCACTCTCTTTTTTTATATATATATATATATATATATATATATAGTCTACCTATTAATGAGAATGTCAATCAACTACAAAACCTTAAATATTCCACATCACAATAAGAACTTTTCCATTTCATCTTTCAATGAGTGATTTTTTAAAATACAGATTAAACAGAGACAAAATAACAGCATAAGAATTTTCTTACCAAACTACAATGAAGATCTAACTTCAAAATAAGTTTTAAATTGTGTGAATATGAAGGAATTCCATTATTATTTTTTTTAGTGAAGCAGTTACCAGCATTGAAGTGAGGAAGGAGACAGAACCAGTGAAATTTTTCTGTGCAGTATCAGTGAGCAAATGTGGCTTGGACCAGATAAGGTTGGTACTGTCAAAGTGGATATCCTGGTATTAAAAGGACACTAAACTTCACAAGGTGAATTGATCCAGTGCTGTCCAAGACAGCAGTTAGAACTGTATTCAGAGAATGTAGATAGTGTCAGTCCACTGACCTGCCATCAGTACAATGGCCAAGAGTAAAGTTAGACGTTAGCAATGTGTGAACCTAGTTTTGGATGGATATCACTCATCACGATGGTAAACATTACCTGATGCTGACTGACTGTGGACCCACTTGATTCATAATCTGGTGACAACTGTGTTGACAAGATTCAGAAAGCATCAGCAAACCATTTAAAAGCCCAATTTTTTTGAATTGTGATCTCCTGTCGAACTTCTCACTTACAATGACACTGCTTTCCGTAGTAAACCATTCAAGGAGTTTCTAGATGAATAGGGAATGCAAGTCCATTTCTGTTGTGCATACATCCCCTCCAGACAGTTGAATAGTGCTATTGAGGCATAAAGTGAATTGCTGTAAGGAAACAATGCTCATTGATAGAAACTGTATATTGGCGCAACATTACACCCAAAGATGACATGTCACCTTCCACTGCACATGCCAATGAGATTGTCTGGATACAAGATACTGATAAAACACCTGCACCAAAGCAAGGTGCAGGTTTGACATTAGGGGACTGCATATGGGACCCCCCCCTCAAAACTATGTACAACTCAATATCAAGTGGGACATGTCACAGGAATTAGAAGGCTTAGCACAATTTGTGTTGATGAGATGCAGTGCCATGTGAGGGATCTACATCCCTTTGTCGGCTCAAACACATCAACAAGTGATGTTAGCATCATATCTTCTAATGATGAGGTACTGGTCAAAATAAGAGATGCCTCAAGTATGACCTCAGATGAAAACTATGCTCAGCCTAGTGGAAATACATCTGATGTCCTTTTGGGAGGTGATCCATCTGGTGAGGAGACAGTAATTGTTCCTTTGAGAAGAAGCAAATAGCTTAAGAGACCCATCCCTGGATGTCACCATTGTGATCATGAGATCAGTGGGAAGCATGGCAAAAGAGAAAGTCACTTACCAAGAAAAAGACGTGTGTACAATAAGACAAAATAAGCAAAAAAAAACAGTCAGTCGCAGCTGTTGCCACAGATGCCTCTAAGATATTCTAATATTGTTTGTCCTCTCTAATCATTGACAAGTGAAAATAATGTTCCGTTGATAAAAGCAGTTGGTGTTCTCAAATTGTAGTTGTTTTATTTTGCTACTTTGTCTGTTGGCTTGTGTCACAGATCTCTGACCATTTACGTGTATTGGGATTTTTGACATTGGACCTGTGATTTGTGATTTCAACATTTCTTTTTGCCTCTGGATCTTTTACTTTCAACATGCGATTTGTTTATTTCATTGTGGAACTGAGCTGCAACATCAATTTTTGAACAAATATCCAGTCAACATCATAGTGCTTGGAGTGATCACTAGTGATGTCGATTTTATGCCTCCATTCATCTTCCCACAGGGCCTTAGACTCACCATCAAGTGCCTTGAAGAGGTAGTCCTGTGCTGGGTCAAGTGGGTAACTACTGGAAGACCCTATATCTGGCAACAGGACTCTGCACCATGTTATACAAGCAGGAGAACCCAGTTATGGCAGTAAGACAATTTCTGCAATCATATTACCTTTTACATCTGGCCACTTACCTCACCAGTCTGCAACCCGTTCGAGTATTATATGTGGGATGCAGTTGATCAACAAAACCAATTGAAGTCAATGGTGATTTTATTGAATAAATTTACTATTTAGTATGTCAAGATATTTTTGTAATTTTGGTAAATATATACATTAAAATGAAATGTCAGTGTTATTTTCGTTTTTGCTTAGTTTAGACGACAATTTATCCATCGCACCCTGTGTGTGTGTGTGTGTGTGTATATATATATATATGATAAAATGTAGTTTTAAGGAATGCTATATTTGTAGGATAAATAAAAATGCTCAATATCTAGAATAAACCTGTGTTAATGCTTTCATGAACTTTTCAACAGGGTTGTACACTGGTGTCACCTCCCCACACTGGTATTATCAAGAAAGCCTATTCCTGACAAATCGACCATCTGAAATTTGAATCTGGATCTCATGGTCAGAAATTAACATGGCCATGTGACAGAGCATATGAAAATATAAGACCGGTGGACACAGAGTTCAAGTCTGTATAGTGACATGGCACGAAGATTGTCTTCAAGCATGAAACTGAGTGTTACCATGCTGAATTCTCTATATTAATGCCAAAGTTGTCAGAGTTTAAATATATTATAATGATATTAAAGTAACATTAATATGGTAATCAAAATCTCTTACTCAGACTTTTATATGGTAACATAACCATCAGATGGCTAAAATATTTTACCCACCTGATCATTGTGCCATGAAACTCTGAGTAGCAGATTTTAATATCATACTAATAATTTTATAATTACAAACACACATATATATATATATATATATATATATATATATATATACATATATCGGTAACTATACTCGTCTCGAAAAAGCTTTGAATTTTTGATTTTCCAATAATCAAATCAATCTCAAAGGAAAAAAGGTTTTAAAAAAAGAAAGAGCCAGGAACATGACAGTCTGTCGAAAAAATCACACAGATACAGGTTCAAACCCCAAAGAAAAAACCCCGACACGAGTAAACAACTAACTAACAAGACCTCAATACAACCATAGAGCAGACCTAGTTAAACCTAGTGAGCCAGACAAACCTACCCAGGTTTCATCTAAGCTGATCGTCAGGGTGAAACCTGGGTAGGTTTTTGTCACTAGGTTTCACTAGGTTTTATATATATATATATATATATATATATATATATATAAAGATTACTGAAAAGTACCTCCCCATTTAAAATACTTATAATTTATTTATTAACTATAATTTTTACAAGAAATAGATATTAGAGGTTAGTGCTTAGCATGAGGTTTCATTTAAAATTCAATATGGGCACCAGATCCACTACCAGGTTCTCAAGCCGCCCAGTAATCATATCAACTGATTTCACCAGGAACTCTTGTGGTAGGGAAGACATAACTCCTTGTATTTTCCCTTGCTCTTCCAAAGTCTTCATTTTGCATAGTAGACTTTTTCTTTGGGACTGGTTAAACTCCAAATAAAAAAGTTACAGTGTGTTAAATCAGGTCTCCTCGTTGGCCCACTCACATAAAATACGGTTTACTTTCCAACCACCCTATATGTATGTATATATATATATATATATATATATATATGTGTGTGCGTATGTGAGGTGTGCTGAAATGTTTTAGGACCAACCCACTTTTTAAAATCTTACCAAATGTACAAACATCAGATTTTTTGGGAAGAGTTTCTTGGTAAGGCTGAGAACTTTTTAACACAATCTTGTGTGTATCTGTGTGTGTATGTAAAAAAAAAAAAAAACTTCTGTTCATATCTAATAAGAAATGTATTTCTTTGTTAGTCTGTGAATTTTTTATTCATAAATAATATTAAGACCAAATTATCCTATTTTGTAGCAATGTGAAATGACGAGAAAATAATAGTTTCAATGTCTATTCCATTTGTGTGTATATATGTTAATATGTTTATTGTCTTTTCTTCTTATTATTTTTACTATATAATGATATATACTGTCATATAAAAGTGAGGGTAAATCTCATTTGATGTTGATATTATTCTGCTCTATGGAATAAGAATTTTTCCTTTTCTATTTGAATATTGTTTGCCTTGAGTTGAAAAGTTCGACGTGTCATTTTTTTCCATCACAAAAAGAAAGTGTTTTACTCAATGAAGCTGAAGGTAATTCCATTATCTACATTTTTATTACTTTGATTCTTGCATGAGTATCTGCATATCCCATACCGACAAGCATATATCTACATATATATCATAATACAAATATAACAGCATCATTCACATGTATTAAAGGCTAAAAATATTGGAAGACAACACTCAATAATATCAACTATGAACACGGCCACAATGTACTGACTGTGTTTGGAAAATAAAGCATCCCTATAACTTTAGATAAATATATCCATATATTCAGTTAAAATACATATAAGATACATATATCTATATATTCATAAGATACATATATCCATATATTCAGTTAAAAGTAAAATAAAATTCATTCTTGATAATCGCTAAAAGTATAGCTGAAAGCACTTGAATATATAAAACATTTGTATATTTTTTATATAATTTATGTCTAGAAAAGAAAAAATCATATGATTACATGAAAAATTATATAAAAACTTAACCATACCCTGTCAGTCATTTTTAATGAAACTCATACATATGTATTAAGCTCTCTCTGGATCTATATCCTCTGTGGAATTATCCATACGGATTACCAAATAATGTCATTATATATATATATATATATATATATATATATATATAGAGAGAGAGAGAGAGAGCCGTGTTGGTATTTGCATTAACATATCATATACCAATACAAAAGTATAAATTATTTCACTATATGAAATGAAAGTATCTATCTTTATATATATATATATATATATATATATATATATATATATATATGTGTGTGTGTGTGTACAAATATATCAGCGGTGCCTATATGCATGTCAGAGATATCAGCTCAGATTGAAGAATAGGAGAGCCAAGTTTGAATTCCAATCGGGTTTTTTATATTCACTTATGTGCAGATGCCTTTAGAAAATGCATGAATACATCTCTTTTCCTCTCAACTATGGGTTGAATAGTAGGAAAGACTGGCTTATCTAGTCTTAGTAGCTAAATAGGAAAAGGACACCTCTGAATTCAAAACGTCCAACTATGTGTTAAATAGCCTCACAGACCTACAACTGGCCAAGCATCATGAATATGGCTACACCCCTAAATACATGGTCAATTAGGGAGGGGGTTGCTTAAACAGGAGTGAGAAGGCCACAGTTTTGGATTTGGAGATATATCTGAATGTATTTGTACAAATAGGAATATGCCAAGAATATGCCTATCCACACATAATATATGTATATATATATATATATATATATATATATATATATATATATATATATATATATATATGTGTATGTATGTATGTATGTATTAACTATGAACCTTTGCCAAATTACATCTTCAGAGTAGAGGTTCAATAATGCATGATTTACTTTTCTTTTTAATCATTTCACCCCAAGTAAGATGGGAATGCCATTAGTACTCAGGGAGTTACAGAGAGTGAAAGTGAGAGAAAAGACTTGGTATGGGGGGGTGAGGAAAGGATAAAAGATAAATGGGATTCAAGATAGAAGATGGTGATTGACATTATATTTAAATTATAGAAGATTGTAGTTGTTATGCAAGTAAACAGAAGTGAGTTTCATAGTTGATAGTGAAAGCAAATAAACTGTTGCAGTAGAAATGGCAGTAACATTTAACTACTTCACCAGTGAAAGTGTGGGACCTACATGCCAATCTAGTAGTTCACTTAAATTCACATTGTCAGGGCACCAGAGCAAAAAGAGAATTTGCCATGAAAAGACAGAGGGAAACCACATCACATGTGTGAGAAAGTGACTACAGTCAAGATGCCAAGTCAGGATTGATTACATTGCAGATCCTTCTTTGAATTTTGTTAAGAACCTCAAGATGAATAGCAGGAACACCAAACCAGATATCACAACAGTATTCAATGCATTAAAAAATGTTAGATTTGTAAATGTGCAAGATGAACTCTGACGAGAAAAACCTTCTAGTACAACACAGTGACCCAACTTTCCTTGCAGTAGATGCAGCTATTGATTTGATGTAGTTGTTACACTTCAAATCAGTTGAAAATGTGTGACCAAGATGGTTGCTCTCCAGGACTCTAGCATCAGTTTCTCTATAGTTGTTAAATTATTTTCATTTTGAAGCATTAAAATTTATAAGCCATTTCCAGCTACACTTAACCACTGATTAGAGGTCCTTTTCAAGAGCAACAGCCAGGTTGATTTTGCCAGCTCTGATGGATTTTCTATTGGGACTAGAGTAAATAGTAGTTTCATCAGCATAAATGCCTAATTGGGAACTGTTGACATCAAGAAGATCCTTGATGAAGATCAGAAAGAGTGTAGGGCTCAGGATATAGCCTTGGAGCACATTCATGTGAAAGGATCTGGAAGTGAACCCATTCAAAACAACATTCATTTTAGGATTTGATTGGAATGAATGGATTAAATCAAACAATCATCCTGTAATCCCATGGCCCTGGAGCTTATGCAGAAGACCAGCATGCCAAACCCTGTCAAACATCTTTGAGATATTTTTGCCATTATTATCAATATCATTATCATTATTATCAAGTGCTTGGCATACATATTCAGTGATGGCCTTTGGTACATCTGCAGTAGACCTGGCAAAATGGAAGCCATATTGTTTTTCAGAGAGTAGGTCATGAGAGGTAAGATGCTTAACTATTTCAGTATTGATTAAAGCCTCAAATACTTTGCCAAAAAGTGATAAAGGTGACTAACAGGGGAATACTTACGAGGATTGAAAATGTTCTCCAGAGTTCTAAAAAAACAGAAACTACAGAAGAGGACTTACAACAAGGTGGAACGCAGAAGGCAATAGTTGTAGAGTTTAGAGAGAACTGGAGTCAGCTCAGGTGCACATCTCTTTAGGACAACAGCTGGGATTCTGTCACCTTCATTTGCCATATGGGAGTCTAATTTAGAAATGATGTCAGAGACCAGTGATGGGGTTATGCACATATCACTCAGTAGAGCTTCTTTTCTAAATCAGGTATGTGTTGAGTGTTGAGTTGGAAGAGAATTTCTGAGTAAAGCATTCAACCTTATCTGCTGTAGATGTCAGAACTTTGAATTGATTCAATAGAGAAGGGATTGAGGATTTGCTATTGTTCAGCACACTTTCAGAGTCGTCAGTAATCGATAGAACTGAACTTGTGAGATACTATACATTGTTTCATTCTATCAGCAAACAGTAAATTCACTGCTTTGAAGACACGTTTTAACTCATTACAAGCAGAGACAAAGATGTCTGTTGCAATCAGACATATCATTCTGGTACAGGTGAAAGAAGTGATTCCTATGGGCTATGGTGGCTGAGCATACAGGTAAGAAACAAGGGGATGAATCTGATTTAACTTGACATTTCCTTGCAGGAATGAAAGCATTGATGCCGGCTTTCACCCAGAAGGTTACCTTAGATGTGCATTTTTGCATGCATAACTTCAAACACATTAGATCTTTTATGTGATATGTTACTTCAGAACATTGGCGATCATGGCTCTCCCCGATTTCTTGTCTTTTGTAGCTCTTAATAGATTTTGTCTTTTTGTTCTCTCCCTTAAACCTTGTTCCACAATCCATTAACTCTTTAAGTTTGCTAGGTATGTTATGCATTGTTTTCTTCTGTTCATCTTGCCTTCAATATGTGCTGTGAGTTTCAAAATATTTAATCACTCTTTCTTCATTATGTACTCTAGAAATTTCAGCTATTTCTTTTTGATTTTAAGTGTAAGTTTTCTTTTTGTTCCATTTTCTTTAAAATTTTGCAAAGCTACATTTCTGTTGCTTTAAGTTTCTTCATCTGTGAGGAGATTGTCCAGCATTCACAGTTATATAGAAGGCCTGATACTACATAATAGTTCGGTATTCTTTTCTGTTTTTAATGAAAATTTTCCTGTTTCTTAATACTTTGCTTAGCTTTTGGAAGACATTTTTTGCTATCCTAGTGTGCCTCTGGGATTTCAGATAACCAATGAAACATGGAGTATATTTTTGCTCCTCCAGTAAAGAATTCACCTCATTTTGAAGGGAGTATATTTATTTTACTCAGATAAAGATGTCACTTCATTTTGGAGGGAGTATAATCTTGTTACTCATGTAAAGAGATCTCCAGATTTTGGAGGGAGTATAATTTTGTTACTCAGAGAAGTCACCTTATTTTGATGAGATCATAATTTTGCTACTCGAGTAAAGAGTTCAGCAGATTTTGAAGAAAACATAATTTTGCTATTCAGGCGAAGAGGTCACTTCATTTTGGAGGGAACATTATTTTACTATTTAAGACAGATGTAGTACAAGTAACAACAGCAAATGAATTGATTTCTTTCCTAAATAAATAAATTGTTGTTTAGTCTGCATCAAACCACAAAATACTTTTCTTCCTTATAAAACATAATGATTGATAAATGTGGCTATTAATCTCAAAAACTTCATAAAATACAATTATACTTTGTTTTATTCTGACATCATTTTCATCTTCAAGTATTGCTAAACCCCAAACAATGAATTTCAAACAGCAGACATCTTGTTCCTTTTAATTCTCAATCAATTAACCAATTCTGAAATTCAGTATTTTTTTGATGAGAATCATTTTAATGAGTATAGAGAGCAAACATTTTGTTCTTACCACACTAGTGAGCAACTGTGGCCGAGGAAGTTGCATGGTCCTCACTACGTATGGAATGTTGATCATCCGTTCTTTTACCAACAAAGATAACACAGCACATACAACACAGAATAAGCCACTGCGCTCGGCACCATTCCTGTAACACAAAAAGTGTCATTATTATTGTGTTGAGCCAAGAAACACAAACACATGTATATATATGCCTTACTGAATAATTTAGACAAGATTTTCAATAGGATCCTCTCATATTCACAGAGAAGCATCTTAGTATACTTATTAAAGAAGAGAGAAAATTAACATCTTGATATATATTCATTTATTCTGAATACATTCGACATCTTCTAAGACAAAATTGTTGTGTTCATCTGAAAGTTAAATTTTTTTAACTGCAAAGTGAAAAATGCTAAGGTTATGTACTGTATGATTTAAATTTAACAGTGTAAAGGTCAGGGGAAGTAATTAAGTTTAAAATATTCATATGTTTTTAAAAAAAACAAAAAAAAATTAGTTATCTCCCCTGATCTTTACACGTGAAATACATATTGTATTTTTATTCAATGTATACACACACATTACTATCTGTCGATATTTCTGTGATGAAGTATTGTAATTATTTACATTGTTCAGACTGTTGTCCCCATCTTTATTGCCCTGTTCATGCCATTTCAGCTGTTGTATGCTCCAGCCTTTTTCAGGTGACTGGAATTAGCCAGGTATTGAACTCACAACTCTTTGGGTCAAATCACTGGATCCAACGAATGCTTTTATCCACTGGGCCATGTGTCCTGCAGTGGTGAACAAAACTTGGACAGTTGAGCTAAAGGGAGATAACTGAGACATCTCGAAGAGGCATGGCACTTGGAACTAGAACAATCTACCCCAGTGTACGAAATAAAGGGTTCAGTTTGAAATTCCAATCACCTGAATAAGGCCAGAGTGTGAAATGGCTCAAATGTCATGAATATGGCAATAAAGAAGAGGACAACAGTCCAAATAATGTAAATAATACACATATTGCATTTTTGGGTTTTCAGAGTGTATTATTTATAAAATCAAATCAAAACTAATTCTTGACTGGTATTAAAAAAACATGCCTTAAAGTGTGCAACTAGTGGAACAATAGACACTAAAATATTAGTGTCCACACTAGAGTGGTTTGTTTTCATAGGTACACTAAATGTTAAGGTGATTTCAAATTAAACCAAGGTATGTGTGTGTATGTGGAGGGGGAGCTCTTCAACACCAACTTTGTTAAGCAAAGAAAACAACGATGTGTTAAACTCAATGTTAGCACAATTCATGCACCTGGTCAATAGGCTGAGATATACTGCTTGCTTCATTGTTTTCATTCCCTATGATGCACTTTGTCAGTTATTGGGACTTCATCCCAAAGAGAGTAGTGCATACTCACCTCCTTCTAGATTATCTTCTCAGACATAGTAAACTTAGTAAATATCTCTAAAATCAATATGTGAACATCAAAAGTGATACTTTTTACTTATAAAAGATTTTAAAAATTTAAATCATTTGGCTTCTAGGATTAATATATCGTGATCAAAAAGCATAACCAACATTTGTTGATGCGTCCAACCATTCTTGAAAACTTACAATTTAACAATCACTCACATATTTCATCCTGTAGTGAGCTCAATTCTCACTAGGTGCCCTATGCTTATGTCTTTATGCCAAAATGAAACTATGCTTAATAAATATCAACAAACATCTTGCTACTGACTTTATTAGCATAGCTATATTATGCACATGCAAATTTATCATGAAAAACCAGTTTTTAAATTGTTTCAAAAACGAGATTTAGGGATTTTCCCATATACCTCAAAAGTCAAGGCCAGTGCAAAAGTCTCATCACCTCATGAATCTCAACTCCACTACATCTTAATTTTCACAAGGTAGTATAAATATGAAATGCAAATTTTATAGTCATTTAATTATGTACAATAATGGATTACATGCAATATAAGTGAACAATTTAACATTATAAATAAAAATAGTGAATTTTATATAGTGTTTTTTCAAGATTTAGCTTGAGCAAAACAAATTCATGGATTTGGACAAAGAAGGCCCTAGAAGGATGTCAAAATCTGTAAAAATTTGTCAGTTATACTTAGTTTAATTTGTAATGTATATAAATATAGGTGGAAAAATCAAATGTTGATAAACCACTGTCAGAGGTCCCCAGTTAGGCTCCCCTCTGTTAGGAGCAGTATCCATCAGCATTGTACATCAATAAAATGCATATAACTCTTGCAGTGTTTTATGTAGATAACAGCAACTGAAAGAAAAACCCTTGAGTGTAGTTGTCAATTAGAAATGTTTTTCTAGTTCTGATTAGGGTTTTCCAGTACAAAAAGGAAATAGGAAGGTTTTTGAGCATGAATAGAACTTTCAGCCATTTCTGAACATCCTTGACCATTCTAATTAATAACTCTGGACTTTTAACTTGGGTTAAGGATATGGAATAGCAATATCTTCAACAAGAGAGAAGAAAGGAAAAAAGATGAAATCTACTTACAAACAATGGACAACCATAGGCGTCTTTTGTGGTTGCTGCTGCTGCTGCTGCTGGAGTTGATACTGAGATATCTCTTCGATCATATGCAAGAATGATACAACATTGGTTGGCACCGGGGAGCCTGCTGGCCAGGCAATGTATTGATATTGTTTCACACTCATTTGTTTCCCCTGCAATAAAGGAAAGGTCAAGTGAAAACCTTGAATGAAATCAACTGGATAAAATGAAGTTCTCAAAATATTGAAAATAAAGGCAAAAATAAAAACTTAACAAAGAATATGTGAAGAATATGCTTTCATTATAAGAACAGGATAAGAATTCTAATCATAATAAAATAAGTGAAAGAGAATAAAGAAGTGAAATAGAATAGAACATGAAAAAGAATAGAAATAGAATAAGAAAAAAAGAACATAATGAGAATAAGAATAGAATAAGAACATGAAAAGGAATGTAAATAGAAGAATAGAATAAGCAAAAAGAATATTACAAAGAATAAGGATGGAAATAGATTAAGAAAAGAATAGAACATGAAAAAGAATATAAATAGAAGAACTGAATAAGAAAAAAGGAGGAGAGAAATAGAATTGAAAAGAATAAGAATATAAATAGAAGAATAGAATAAGAAAAAAGAACATGAAAAAGAATAAAGATATAAATAGAATAAGGAAAAGAATAAGAATATAAAAGAATAATAATAGGAATATATGAATAGAATAAGCAAAAATAACATTAAAAAGAATAAGAATATGAAATAGGATAAGAAACAAAGAACATGAAAATATAGAACACAAAAAGAAACACAACAAAAATATATATATGTAAATAAGAAAAACAGACTATTTCTGATTATATTGTGCAAATCATGGTTTTTCCAATAGAATTTGTATTAAGCAACTGATCTTGGTAGAATTTTCAGGATATACTTACATGATAGATATGACATCTTAATTTCAGGTTATATCTTGTTTTTAAGAATATTTACAATATCTGATTTGGTGGTCTGAGATTCTGCTATGGAAATTGAGGGTTGGAAATTATATTGTAAATAAATACATAGTATAGTTATTAATATTCATATTTTATTTCACATATATAAAGATTACTATGGGCTATAAAAAAAATTAACCTCAAAAGACAGACAATATATTTTAAAGTTATTCAGTGCTGGGAATACAACACTGGAAATTGCAAAAATTATTGAACAAATATGGAAGAATGACCAAAAAAGAAATTAAAAACAGAAAGAATGTCACAAAAAGAGATTGGATAAAAGTTAAAAAAAGATAATAAGCAAGAAAAGAAGACTGCCCAGCAAGAAAATATTTTGTAAAAGATGTCATTGTGCATGTATAAAAAGAGAAAAGATGCAGAAAAATTAAGATCATTGGCTAAAGACATGAAAGCAACCAAACCAATCTTTAAATCAACTTCCAAATAGAAACATCTATCCTGAGTGAAGAAGTACATCGAAATTGATTTTTCAACAGTGATATGTAGAGATGAATATAGACCAACATTGGATGTATCTACATTATATTGGAATTTTCAAGGAAATACTCAAGAAACTTAACTTAGAAGGTAACATGGCTGAGTAATGTGCGGTAGGCAGTAAAATTATGTCTCTCTTCAAAGCTGATGATGGTATTAAGATATCTATAAGTCTATCATTTATCCACGCTTAGAATATTGCTACCACATATGGTCTGGTGCTCCTGCTATATATCAAGGATCTCCTTGATTGGTTTGGTTTAGTTTGGTTTGTTTTACAGCATATCAACCTCAATGGGTTATTTAATGCTGACAAGATTTTTATTGCTGGTAACATTTTTTCAAAAGGTTTTTCTGGTAATATTTTTTTTCAAAATCTCTTGCTAGTAATTTTTTTTTTTCAAACATGTATTCCTAGTAGTATTTTTTTTTCCAAAATATATTGCTGGTCATATTTTTTTGAAAAATTTATTGCTGGTAATAATTTTTTACAAAAATATATGGCTGGTATTTAAACCTATTTTTATACTTTCATAGTGTTTTGACCCCAGTTCGGGGATTAAGTATTTGCCCATAGCTAGGACCCTAACAGGTGTTACCACCCCGGGTCAGGGTGGACCTGGGAACACCAGTGATTAAGAGGTGGTTCCGCGCTCCTCAAAACCTACTGATCAGAGGCCTTGCTGTTGGATGTAGTTTATCGTCATACCCAGGATGGGGAACTCCTTGATAAAATCCAAAGAAGAATCAGCAATATTATTGGTCTTTATCTGGCCTCTTATTTTCATTCACTTTCTCACTACCATAAAGTTGCTTCCCTGTGCCTTTTTTACAAATACTTTTATGGTACTTGTTCAGATGAGTTCTTCACTATAGATCCCAGAATTTGAAGCAAAGTACTAGACTGGTGGTGAGGTCTCATCAATTTACAGTTGAGTTGGCTAGATGTAATTCTATGCTAACAGCTTTTCTCATACTTCTCACTCCCTTCCAGTTCCATGCATTCTAGCCAACTTTAATCGACAAAAATTTAAATGCAATGTCAATCTCTATCTACTGTCCTGATTACTCTTTTGTTTCCGTACCTTAGTAATGTTTCTGTGTTCCAATTCTTCCACACCCAGTGACCTCTTGTGTCCTAGTGGTTTCATTTCCTTGCTTGGGGTGAACTTGATTAAAAAACTTCTGAGAATCAGTAAGAACAACTAAGTTCTTGAACATTTTTTTGAAGTGTACAGTCCACAACCAAAAAGCTTTATGTTAAAGGGTCTATTCATATAAGCCAGTGATATTTTAGATTTTGCAAAGTCAAATGTTGCCCACTTTTCCAAAAATGTTTTAAACGATGCTATGTTAATGAAATGGCCATGTAATTCTCCGATATTACTGTACATACTCAAGTATGGTGCGAGTTTTTATGATTTGTTTATGATGTAAAAAAATAGGGCATCACACTGTACACAGGTAATTTTTTTGAAGAGTTTAAAAATCATGCATTTTTGGTGACTGGTTGCATTATACACAGGTAAATTTTTTCTAGAGGAGTTGAAATTCATACAAAATAATTCAGGGGTTGCATTATACATGAAGTTGAATAATATACTAGTATATACAGTAATCCAATAAAAAGTTGTGGTCCTTCATTAAAAATGATGCATATGAGAATGCAAAACACTGTATCCTTTCCTTGAGTCAGTCAGTTAAAAGCCATACATGATAGATGCTTGGGCAATCATGTATCTTTGATACATGACTGACAAGGCAGATTTCTTTTCCCATAGTAGGTTGCCATTTCTTTCTGCAGTAGACTGGTTGCCAACCAAGACTAAAGAACCCAGTCTGCCCTACTATTCAACCCATAGTTGGGGGGAGAAGAGATGGACTCATAACTTTCCCAAGGATATGTGTGTGTAAGTGAATCTAACAAACTCAATTGGAATTTGAACTTGCTTCTATAGGTTCTATAGAGCTGATATCCATTATACCACAATGCCCATCAATAACCCTCATCTTTTTACTGTAAGGGAATTACTTGACAGCATTAGCTATCTTTGTCTTTGAGACCATTACTAAATAAAAATTATGAATTATGTCTATGGTTGATTACAGATAAACAAAACTTCAGATACACGGAAACAACTGTATACAGTGAATTCAATAAAGAGGTTCACAGCCACAGAATCCTTGAAGCCATTTATGGCAAACTTGGGCTTAATAGTGTTTGATATTTTTGTTGTCAATTTTCACAAACAAAGCAAATGTATAAAATCAGTTTCTTCATGTTTTTATATTTTACTATAATTCTAATCATTGTTTTTTAAAACAATGAATGGATGGAAATAGTTAATAGTACAGTGTCAATGGAAAAACTGTCGTTTTGAGACTCTGTTTTTTTGTGGGCACAAAGTCCAAGTTTTCCCCATTTATATTGTTTGCATGCACATTATACATGTACCTGTGTGTATATGATAATAATATAAGTTGTTTCCTTATAAAGAAACATTTGGCATTCATTTTAATTGTTGCTGCTTCTAAAAGTCCTCAAGTGATGTGGTTTCTGTTATTTGGTATAATTCTTTCTTTATAATACTGTAGCACCAGTCCATCAGGTGCTTGTTGGTCTGGGCAACCTGGACTAGTGGATTAAAGTGTTGACTTCTAAATTTAGTGGCATAGTAATTATGAGTTCTATCTGTGGACTGGATAATACAAACTGAGACACAGTGGAAATAGGGTGAGCAATAACTGAGTAGTAGTAAAAATGAACAAGATGAAATGTCCCTAGATATTCAACCTACCCCCATAGATTAAATGAAGAGTTTAATTTAAAGTTCCAAGAAGGTTAACTGGATTGATCAGCACCTGATGAATGTCAGAGTGCACAACAGTTGAAACATCATGATAATATCAACAGTCTGAGTTTAAATAATATAAATTCTATTTACCAGAACTTGACAGAAAAGTGAAAAAAAATATGAAAAAGAGCATTTATAGTAACTGAAAAGAGAAACTTTTGCAATGAATGCCAAAATTTGTGCTGCAGTAATCAAGGCTAAAGGGGGATATTTTGACAAGAGCAAAATTTAATCATAAAATGTTTTTTTCTTTTTGCAATAATAAAATTTCTAATAAAAAAATCATAACTCCCTTTCTTTTAACAAGGTATAAAAATTATCTCTTATTTAAAATACAAAACCTCTACTTGTGGGGTCAATTTAAAAAATACGAGTGTGACCTCAAACTTTTCAACTGTAGTACATTATATATATATATATATATATATATATATATATATATATATATATATACATATAAAAATATATTACACACAGACTGGAGAATCTGTCCTTAACTTAATGAAAAAAGCTTTGATATAAAAAATTCAGCTAATAACTGATTGATTTGATTCATTTTTATGGCTCATCAACCCTTTGTAAGTTATTTAAAGCCAGAAAATGTTTTGAAATTGTAAGAATTTTTTTTGATATAATAATATTCTATCAATAAAAGTATTACTGATTAACACATAGCTGGTGGGAGAAAAGGTGGATTAATACCTTTCCCAACGGTATTTGAGCATAAATGACTAAAATAAATCCACTGGGAATTGAAAATCAGCTTTCTGATTAACAATTCTGAGCCTTTATCCATTACACCACCTGCACATCCGAGCTTACAGCAC